TTCTTTTTTTTTCACCCGTTACAACGGTGTAATAAACGAACAAAAGCAAAAGGTGAAATTACTCATTTTATTTGTAAAATCCCAGTGTAATTAATTGATGATATTTTGTAGCCGCCAGTCGTAAATCCAGTTAAAAAGCCGACGAGACATTTTAGGGTTAAGGTAAAACCTGATACTACGGTGTAGAACAAAAAGGAATTAGTCTTCTTTTTTTTTTTTTACTTTTTAAAGAAAGTTTTCTCGTGACGAAACTAAAAAACACACCAAAAAAAAAAAAACACGTTACTTTGAATAATACTCTCCAGTGTGGTTTTAGACGTATTATATCACCTTAACACGAGGCACCTGTCAAAATTATCTTCAGGTGTGGTAAAAGTGTGAACAAGTGTCCTTCAGCACTAAAGACTGTGGGGGGTCTTTTACAACAACAACAACAAAAAATGGACATTTTCTTATACAAAAAAAGATTTAAATGATTTTATTTGTTTATTCAAAAAAACAAAACAAATTAAAGTCAGGGAACCTTTTAAGTTTAAGACTTTTAGAATATTGGGGTATTCATTCAATCTTTAGACCGTATTCCTGGGTACATATTTATACTAATATTTTTTTGTTAACTGGTTTACATGTCGTAATTGGTTATTATGTAAGTATTGTGTAGAAAGTTATGTTTAAAAAAGACAAGCCTCGTGCGGGATATATTCGCATCGTTGTAAAACGTCCCGGATTTTAAGGAGTTTACAATGTTTAGTAACGTTGTTATGTTGAAATGTAAATCTTATTCGGCCTTCGCCAAATCTTGCTTAGTATGTCAGGATGAGAGTAACGGAAGTTAATGGAAGTAAGAGACTAATATATTAAATGCCCAAACTACTTAGAAATGGAATTATATATGTATGTGTGTTAATTAAGGTTTAATATTTCATCAGTAGTCGACAGACAAGGGGAAATTCTACGCAGATAGTGTCTGTTTGAATAAACGGTAATAACTGAATTATGTTACGCAGATATGTGTGATTGACAGAGTGCTGTTTATCAATTACGGTAGCACGTAAGAGTTCTTTGGGGCTTTTTTTTTAGGGGGGATAAATCCCCCTTTTTTATGCCTGGCTGGTGGGTCAGCAGTAAGTTTGCAGGTAAAATCAAGGCTCGGCCCCCTCTCCCCGGTAAACAGAATGTAGCCATTTCGTAGCTTTCCACCAAAAAATAAATAAATAAAAACTTTTTTTTTTATATACAATTCTCAAGTTTGTAGCCACTATGATAAATTATATGTTTCACCAAGTCGTACGCTATTAATGTAATATGAAAATCAATGTTTGAGCGAGCACCAATAAAACTAAACCTACAATCAACGCATATACTGAAGCCTTGTTTTATCACTGAGCTTTATCACTGCTTTGGTAAACAGGTTTGTGAGGTGTTCTTAAACTTTCAGCACCTAGCCTTTTCACTTGGATAAAGATTGTGTAGGCTTAGTACTGATAAGAATGGCAGACATGTAAGTGACGTTGAATTCGCTAAAATACTCAAACCAAAAATTCTTTGTTGCGAAATAAACAGGGTGTTAGGGCGCTCGATTCGCAATCTGCGTGTCGCGGGTTCGAGTCCCCTTCCCACCAAACATGCTCGCCCTTTCAGCCATAGCGGCTTATAATGTGACTTTAAATCCCACTATTCGTTGGTAAAAGAGTAGCCCAAGAGTTGGCGATGGGTGCTGATGACTAGCTGCCTTCCCTCTGGTCCAGTGGTTCTTAACTTTTTTTGCTCCATGCCTCACCTCGACACCTAAAAAAAATGTGATGCCCCCTTAATATAAAAACAAATTTGGTATTGAAAAGATATAATAATATAATGTAAAATTTAGAAACTTACCAACATTTCACACCTAAATGAAAAAATTTTCTTATTGTAGCATTTTCAAATTGCCCCCAATATATTCAAATTGCCCTCCGTTACTGCTCTAGTCTTTCACTGCTAAATTAGGGACGGCTAGCGCAGATAGCCCTCGATCCTGGATGATCCCGTTTACTGCCAAAATAGCGAAAGGATTCGTTTTAATGATCATCGTCCACATGGTTTCTGTTCACCATAAAAATATTCCAGCACTCGAAATTTATCTGTCATACTGCTGAAAAAACCACCTATTTGTAATTCATCTGGGGGAGGGGGAGTTCACATAATTCTTTACTACGCCACGGGGGTTCTAGAGATATTGATAAGGCATAAGTTTACTTTCCTTCGAGGAAATCGGTAGCCGGGCTTCAAATCGAAAGGTCCAAGGTTCGAGCCGCGACATGTCACTGAACGCACTATATAACTGCCAATCTTGCTGTTAGGTTAGGAGGCGGCTAGTGACTGGTTACTATGCCTAAACCTTAGGGTCTCGTACATGGCCTTTTACTCCATATGTCGCATAACACGAATAATAATCCATTAGTTACAGTACTATTCTGCCCCCCCCCCATCATATCGTTATTTTGGCGTTATTTTATGACCGTATAAAAAAAAACGTACTCCTCTAAATTAGAGTAGTAATCGAGCGTCATTCCTCAATTATTTATGCATGTGTTTTTTAACGATATAAATGTTAGGGTTCGGTACGTGTCGATGAGATTTGCTTTTGTTTTCAATGGCCTTAAAAGGAATAGATAGTAGAAAACCTCCAATAAAAGGCCTAACGTGTCCACATTTTCCGGTGTCAGTTATATTATTGTTAGAGACAGGTCAATAGTATCCCCGCCTCCTCTTCTATCTCGCTTCTCTTATTGGTGTATTTAAATAATAGTGTGCTTCTCTTATTGGTGTATTTAAATAAAATTTTGTGCTGCTCTCATTGGTGTATTTAAATAATATTGTTTTAAATCGTGCTGTTCGTCAGCTAAGAACTCTAACGGTGTCCTATACAAAAATCCTCTCACCGAGCATGTGTGCACTTTCCGCCGTGGGGACGTTATAATGTGACAGTCAATCCCGCTATTCGTTGGTAAAAAGTAGCCTAAAAGTTGGTGTTGACCAGCTGTCTTTCCTCTAGCCTAAAAATTCAACAAACAAACAATACAGTATACAGTTTCTAGTGAAAAAAAAGATAAAAGAAAAACAAACACCAATAGACAATCGTACGTGCTTGCGTGTGTTTACGTGATACAAATAGCGATACAGATAAGTTAGAGTGTTATATTACGTCTATTAATCAAGCTAGCCGTTTTTCTTCTATTAAAATGACACTTATAATTATTTAAGGTGTGCCCAGACTTACGATAAATCTGAAGGCAGTTTCTCTCATGTTGTTATTCACCAACTCAAGATATCGATTAAAACGACTTTGTTCGAATATTTAATAAACATTCAATATAACCCCCATCCCTCCCCAGTCACGTTTATGCGTGATGTATGTTTGTATGAGACTGACATATTGTAAAACGTAACTTAATTGTTTACTATACTCTTTTTTTTTTGTTTTTCAGATTGCCAATTTGGCAATAACTCCTACGAGATAGAAGAAAGATGGAGACCGGATCTAGGGCCCCCTTTTGGAGTATTCTACTGTGTGCACTGTGAATGTGTGGCAGTAAGTAATTTATTTACTTATTTCTCAGATTAATGAAACAAGACAACGGCCAATTTTAACATTCCCCTTTTACTAATAAATGTGGTAAACAACACAGCAAGACATCAGCCAATTTTAACATTCCCCCTGGGCTTGTTAATTTGTCAGCAGCAGTTTATAATAAAGTGTAATTTATTTACTGCACTCTTCCTATAGGATCTTGTTCCTGGTCTACTATAAGTATTAAAACTGGCTGTGTTGTTTCACCAAACTTGGCAGGTAAAAGGGAAGTGTTAAAAATTGGCTGATGTCTTGCTATGTTGTTTCAAACTTGGCAGGTAAAAGGGAAGTGTTAAAAATTGGCTGATGTCTTGCTGTGTTGTTTCAAACTTGGCAAGTAAAAAAGAAGTGTTAAAAATTGGCTGATGTCTTGCTGTGTTGTTTCAAACTTGGCAGGTAAAAGGGAAGTGTTAAAAACTGGCTATTGCCTTGCTGTGTTGTTTCAAACTTGGCAGGTAAAAGGGAAGTGTTAAAAACTGGCTGATGTCTTGCTGTGTTGTTTCACCACATTTACTAGTAAAAAGACAAGTCCTGAAAGTGGTCTAACATGTGTTGTAATCTAGCGGGTCAGACAAGTCCTGAAAGTGGTCTAACATGTGTTGTAATCTAGCGGGTCAGACAAGTCCTGAAAGTGGTCTAACATGTGTTGTAATCTAGCTGGTCAGACAAGTCCTGAAAGTGGTCTAACATGTGTTGTAATCTAGCCGGTCAGACAAGTCCTGAAAGTGGTCTAACATGAGTTGTAATCTAGCCGGTCAGACAAGTCCTAAAAGTGGTCTAACATGTGTTGTAATCTAGCCGGTCAGACAAGTCCTAAAAGTGGTCTAACATGTGTTGTAATCTAGCCGGTCTGATATATCCTGAAAGTGGTCTAACATGTGTTGTAATCCAGTTTGTCTGATAAGTTCTGAAAAGGACCGGCTAGATTAC